ATATTATGCGTATACCGGTATTATCGCATAAATCTCCTCAACTCCGTAATATAATGATACCGGCGGTGATGGTTTACGATATTATTATTTAATAGTTGGGTGCGGAAGAATGGGTGGTGGGCCCGATTATAATATGTGTGCACGCGGTAACGAGTGGTGTCAGCGTTATACCTACTTATAATAATATGGAAAACCTATAATATAGGTAATATAGAGAGGAAAAATAGAAAATTTGTAGAAGTGAAAAAACGATTCACGTGATGTCGAGACATTTTCGTCGGTTGAGCGTAACATGGTACCTACCTTTTAGGTATACAACTACTATTATTTCGTTTATTTTTATTTGCTTACCCCGAGAGAGTTGTATTACTTAATGTTAAGTAGGTATTTTTTTTTCTGTACAATTAACAACGAAAGCCGAAAACATTAAAAGAAACTAAGACTTTCGATCGAACCCACATAGTAATATTTTAATAGTCAACCGGTGAAGTCAATTAGCATAAGTGAAAAAAAAACCAGAGCATAGAAGTAACCCGAGTTATCCAACTTAAACCCTGTGCTTATACATTTTGTTTTATTAAACCAATTACTGCAATTTACTCACTATCGAAAAATAACCACCAACGAGTTCAAATGAAAATTCCAACAAAAGTATCAGATAAAATAATATGACTATGTAGATTTGAATTACCGTAACTAATGAATATTCGTGTGGTCAATAATATTATAGCCTAAAAGTGCTTATAAAATATAGTATTATATCAAGAAGAACGTGCATTCGTTTTATTTTAAGCGACTAACAATAAGATTAATTCTAACAATGATAAAACTTTATTTTTTTCAATATTTTAATTCGGAAGACTTCCTGTTTTTACGATTACGATTTCTTTACATTTAAAATAATTCTTCTGGAATTACTTTTTGTTAAGAGGCATCTCAAAGGCCTTTTTTTATTCTTCAATTCTACTCAAAATTAAGAAAGGAATGACATTTATTTTGAAGACCGCTCTAGATAAATCAATTGGATTACACTTCAGTTTGTAGAATACAAAATTTGAAATACTATATTGTAAAATATGTACCTACTGTTTGATAATAACATAACATAATGGAATAACTACTTGAACACATATTTATTCAATATTTTATAATGTAAGAAAACGGTTCATAAAATCGAATGGTGAAACTTTCAGACTGCCGACGCCATATTATATACAAATTCCATGTACAAATACTTTATGAGTGAAACGGGTTCAAACATTGTGTATCGGAGGATGAGTAAATATAATACATATTTTAGAGAAAGCTTGTTTTTTTTAAATAAAATGGCATAATTTTTGTATCGCAAGATTTATATTGTGTGTCAAAAAATAAAAATAATAATGAAAGGTTGAATTTTTCTTTATAGAATACATTTCATCAATATTAAAATACATGGATTGATTACAATTATATGGGAAAAAAGTTATGATGTTGAAACAAACAATTATATCTTTTTTGTATTGACATAACACTACATACATCATTAATATAACACGTCATGAAGCAAAAGATGAGGGAAATCATCCAGCGATGGTACCCACCACAATATTATATATAAACGAATTGGTCATTATAATATTATACGATAACGTTCTAAACCATTAATAAATTGTTACATCATAAAATCGAATGTCAGCCGCCGGGGAATCCAAAAGTTGTAAAACTGTTGTTAGCTCTGATACTTTCCAACCGTTAACACAGCAATGCGTTTTAACGTGTCTCTAAAAACAAATGTGAAATATGAAAAATAACCTTTTTAAAGTACAATCCTAGTTCAATTTTCAATCAACATAGACGCTGCATCCTGCAGCATGAAACTTTTTGTGCCATGTAACTGTTCTGAAATGTATTAAAACCCAGACGTCTGTAAAACCAATAGTTTCATCGTCCCCTTTAGAATCTAAAAGGAGGAGAATACGTATGGACAGGATTCAGTGACCGAATAATATAATTCGAGCGTGGCTTACACGAAAATGGTCAAGATTTTGTTTAAACCAAGTGTGTGGAAAATTTCACAATGTTTTTGAAGTCGGAAAATAAATGCATGTCATATATGGTATATTGTTATTTGAGAATACTGAATAACAACGAATTTAATATTTTATAGATTAAAATAGTCAAATACCATAATAAAGTATTAACTGAATAGGTTTAATGTATAGGTACTAGGTAGGTACAGTTGCTTAGGCCAAAATCTAGTAAACATAATAATGTTAATGAAATATTAAGTAAAAACACATGAAATACCAATATATGCATACTTTTGTATAATTAAAGGTTATAAAATAAATAGCTATGTAAATTGTTTATTTTAATCAAATTAAAATGTGGAGATGAAAACAATAATGAAAAAAGCCCTTGAGAAAAAAACGAGTCGTTTCGTATAGAATATATTCCCAAATATTGTGTTCGAACGTAGATTCAATATAAATTTAAATTAGTCAAAATGTTTTTGTTTTTAAGTAAACATTACTATTTTTTTTTAAATTAATAACTGTGACCACTCATTTATACGCACACAAATAAAATATAAAATACATCGTATGGTTGCACATTTTTTTTTATCACGTTTTTATAAAAGCGTGTTTGTAATTTCAATCATTATTTTTTTATACTTTTACAAATCACTATGGGACATTGAGTTTTTCAACAATTCATTAGTGCATTATTTGTTGGTTTAATTAGTGCTTGCCGAATTTATTGATGTGGTTCGCTCTCAAAGTGTATAATGAACAGTGATTAAAACGGATAACAAGTTCTGATGGTAAAAAAGAAAAGAAAAAAGTAAAAATTATAGCATTAAATCATTTGCATTGAACATGCATTTTTATTTACTTTTCATTAAAAATCTAATTAATGGACCACTTGAATACTGTTGGTAAAATAATTCCATAATATCAACGAAATTTTAAAAATCAATAACAGCATAGTGTGCTTAAACCCTATACCACAACCTCCTGAATCATTACGTAGGTAAAGGTACTTACAACGAATTTTGGCAAATTCTAACTCTTCTGATCATAACGCGATTTGGTGAGCTTATTGTAGCAACATTTACTAGTTACATACTACTTTTGGTAGATCAGAAAATAAAATACGAGTAATATTTTTTTCATTTAAAATTTGAGGTCGATAAGTTTTGAATCTAGTTTTAAAAAACTCTCATGTAGGTAGGTAATTGATTTATATTATGTTGTATCGACTAAAAGTTTTTTTTGCCAGGTCAGTATGTTTTATTACATTATTATACAATATACACATTATTACTTTGTTATCTGACTTGGACAATAACTATGACGTCTCATATGGTACTTGGTCATTCGATCTTACGAAAAATTGTGAAATTCATTGAAAAACATTAACTTAACAATAACTTTCTAAATAACATCAATCAACAAGTATTTTTTTAAAGCTTAAAAATACAATGTACACACAACTACATAATTATGATATTTTTAGAACAAAATATACCCTTATTATCACAATATTGGAATCAGAATTTAACCCTCGGATTCAGTTGTAAAATTCAAGTTATTTTAGGTCAGTCCAAAAATATGCAATAAATAAAAATGATTTAATTTTCCAAAAACTTCGATGCTTTTTTGGAAATGTATTTTTTTGAAACTATCTAACTTAACCATAATTTTGGCTATGTATATAAACCACTTTTATCGATTGTTCAGGCATTATGTAGGTATACCTTGTTCTATCATGTTACATGGAATATTTATTTATATTTGTAATCGTTATTTTAAACTACAAATGGTTCTCTATAGCTTATCTTTCTATATTAATTATTAAATTATTATTATTTTGTTTTTTAAAAGATATATTTCACGATAAATATATAAAATTATAAATAAATATAAATACATGCATTTGTTAAACAAATAATTATATTGAGATAAATAAAAATAACAAATTTAATTTAAGCGTCTGAGTGATTACATCACTATCAATGGTTTAAAAGTATATTCTACTATTTCTCTTCTGCAGACTTGAATACATTATGTTGTTAATAAAATATACGGAAGTCAATATTATGATTTAAATACATCAACACGTGCTACAAATTCGTTTATTATATTTTGATGGTTTATTACCCATGTGTGAATTTTTAGTGAATTCGAATTTTCCATTGAAAATGCACACGAAGTGTGTGTAGTGTGGAACGGGGTATAATAACGGTGATTTAATACCCTGACGTATTTACCTGACAACTTCAGTGAAATATCTAAAACTGATGTAGAGGTACTCAATGTCATTAAGCTCATTCTTATTATATTGCACGATACACAATATAATATACGTAGTATACTATTCAGGGTATTAAAATCGTCGTGACTTGTGACTCGAAGTTTTACCGGAAATCGCTCACCTTCTCGTATATGTATATTACGTCATGTCTTTTGTCACAATAACCGTAGATTGAACGATGGCAATATAGCTGATATTATTATATTACAATAGTTGTTTTAGTCAACAGTCGGTAAGTGTGGACGGCGATCGTCTGCAGATACACGCTATGATATTATTATATCGTATCATCCAAAGAGTGAAATAATACTGACTTTATCAGCATCCTAGGTCGAATTCCCGGACGGCGAAAAACCCATCACCAAACCTAGTCTTCGTCTAATGTTACGCGGTTTTGACGTTTTCAAAATATGCGGACACCGCCTCGCTGTCGCATAAGATGTAATTTTACGTGTTGGAAGGCGTTTCGGGAATGTCGACTCCGTTTAATTCGTGAGACGCATTATCGCGTTTGTAATATAATATTTCCATTGACGAGTATTCCACGACCACAGTACAAGACCATGCACAACCATACCCATTACCCCCCCCCCCCCCTTGATCAGACCCGACTCGTTTTAGTGGCGCGTCTGTGTGTGTCGTATTATCTAATGCAACTACGGAATCGTATTAATATTATGTACACTTGGCTTTGGTTTCAGATATCATGGGTTCGCCGCAGGGACTGGCACATCTTGACTTCGGGTATGTTCACGTACACAAACGACGAGAGGTTCACCGTGTTGCACGCCGAGGGCTCGGATGATTGGACACTGAAAATAAAATACGTGCAAAAGAGAGACAACGGCACGTACGAGTGTCAGGTGAGCGAAAAACAACTTGTTGATAGTATAATATTCCGTCAATTTTTTGGTGTCGCGTATATTATATGATCATTAATATTATTTTTGTTATTATTATTATTATTATATCGGAGGGTTGACCGCATCCACCAATGATTTGGTGGGGTGGAAGGGGCGACTGGGTGAGTTAGCCGAAAAATGTGACGTTTACACTAGTGCCCTATTTTTTTAACGCTATCGAACAACGTACTATATAATAGTATATTGCGGGATACACGGAAACTCTAAAGTATATATTTTTCATGGCTTGGAATATAATATTATTATTATAAATACATATATATGCATAAAACACTAACATCGTGAGGTTATTTTTTTGAAATTGGTGTATAATATGTGTATGGATAGTTCTGCAAACTTTATTTTTCTTTGTATAAAAAACGACAACTTTCCATCATGTGATAAGTAACTTAAACAAGTACAACATACTTTTCTAATTGTTGTTCTTTTTTTTTTTACAATTTCACGGAGTTATGTTCGGTGTTTTTTTATTCTTATACTTTTACGTTTAATGTCTTCTTATAAAACTTTTAAGACCAAAGTTATTTCTCAACAAAAAAAATTGTTCGTAAACAATTATAAAAAAATATATTAAAAAGTAAAAACTCTATTGAACAAAAGACACAAATTTATTAGAATTTAATATATATGACAGGCTATTTTTGGTATTTAATCGAATCACAATTCCTTGAAAAACAAAATTAAAAACTAATTGATACCAAATGAGTAATAGCTTGTAGGTAATAATTTAAAAAAACAACTCAAAATACCTTCTCAAAATCTTTCAATTATACTATAGGTATTTAAAAATGTAACTCAATAAAGTGCTGTTTAATCTTTGTATAAAAATCAAAATCAAACTCAATAATAGATTATTTTAATAAAAATATGGGCTTTATACCCTGGTGGCTTCACTCGCCAACCACCTTCACTTTTCCTGGAAATAAATTCAGAGTGCAAAAACATTATTCCAAGCTCTGATATTATTTTGTTTAAAATATTTATTAATTTCACAATTTCCTTACAATAAATCTATAAATTCTTGTAGAAACGCATCATGTTCAATGAGTTAAACTTTTCCTCGGTGATAGCAAAGATCTCCTCTTTTTATTGTTAAAATACGAAACCATTAAAATATTGACATTTTTCTGTCATATCACTGATATCTAAATACCCAGAATCGTCTGTTTGTTCTTATTTAAATTTTTGTTTCTTTGATTTCTCGTAGTGATACTCTTCGAATTTTCGTTTATTATTTTTTTCTTTTTTTTCTTTATTTTCTTGTTCTTTTTTCTTTATCTATATCTGAAACTTTTTTTTCTCCATCTTAAAATGTACAAAAGAACTCTCATAGTACTTGTCGTGGTAATTATTTGATGAAACTATATTTTAAAACTTTTTGTGGAATAGAGAGATATTAAAATATTTAGTTAAATTAATAAAAACTAAAAATATTTAATATAAAACTATACTTTAAACTGTGATTATAAAACAACACAGAATATAACTTAAAATGGCAAACAATTAATCTTAAAAAATTTAAACTTATAATTGAGCAAAAACGAAATACCAGCTTTTTTTAATTTGAAACAAGGACAACTATTAATTCATTTAATTGTCTTCATTAAAATAAAAAGTATGTTGTTTAACATTGATAATGGTTTTGAAAATAATATTATATGGACTTAATAGTCCCATGTACAATGTAAATTGGGAGTGTAATGTTGGTCTACCCTGGTGGCTTAACTTAAAATGTTACAGATTAAATTATCAACACAAATACTGATAATACTACCAAAATTAACATTTTTTTTCGATAATACTTCTATGAGAATTTAATACACAATACTTTATAATAGTAAAATTAAATATAAAATCTAAACAATTTTGAATAATACTTTAAAATTTCTTTTTGCAGTTCTAAATACTGAGTGTCCTTTCTCCAAAATTTCCAAGGCTCCCAATGATATTTATGCTTGATATTTTGATACTGATATTTACTAATATCAATGATCTTTAAAATGTATTTAATGTATTTAATAAAGTCCAAATGAAAATAAAGGATATTTTGAAGTTAAATATCAATTCGTTGGTTTTATTTCAAAAAGTATTTTAAAAATATGTTGTTTCACGAAAATGACATACTAAATCAATGTCATTTCTGCTTATGGTTCAGGACCAATGGCTATATCGATTTCCTTAGATGTTGGGAAAAATTGGAAATATATTTCTAGATAGAACGTGGCTCAATGTTAAATGGTGTTGGAACTCATATATTTTTGTCATATTCTTTTCATATAAATACTATATACATGAGTCTGTGAGACATATAATGTTAGATATCGTGATATCAATTGAATAACCGTCAAATAAAGATATATGCTGCATACAGGCCGAACCTGGTGTCGAGTTAAAATAAGTTAATTTACCACGAGTAGAGAGTAAAAAAAAACTTAACTTCATGCTTATTAAAATATTGTAGACACTTTGATGGAATTTATATACATAATATTATAATTTGTATTTTATTTACTTATTTCTCATTTAAATAAATCAGGATATTTAGATTTTCCAGTTTAAAAATAAAATTAAAAAATATTATTCATTCTTATAACTTTTAAATATTCTGATTATTCGCCATCGTTCTATTAATTGTACGTATACAATAATACATATAATATTATAAAGTTTTAATCAAAATATTTCTGAAAAAAAAAGAACTAACAATATTTTTTTTTTGAATTTTACTAAACTGCGAAATTTAGATCAGTTTAGTAGAAATCTATGTGTTATTCTATGTATTGACACTACGATATTTATGGTATCAGATGTGAGCTGACTTTTATTAACTTTCAGTTTTAACATCTCGAAAAAAATGATCATTATTTGACATAGATTTTACTTTTGTCCTATTTCTATAAAATTTAAGTTACCTACATAATAAATCATCAACAAATTCTATGATAAAATGGTAATTGATATTGTGTGAATAAACTACCTAAATTAATGAATACGAATATACCTTAATTTAACATTGTATCCTTTACATGATTTTATCAAATTTATTTCAGAACTATTGTATGTATATATTTTTGCATATATAATTATGCGTTAATTATAAATGCAATTATTTACGTAGGGATATGTATGTAATGTTAATTTCGTGTTTAAAAGAACCCTGATGATTTCAATACAATTAATTAATAACTATACATAATTATAGCATAATATTTCGAATACTACTGTTATTAATCCGAATATAAACTCAAGTCTAAACGATTAAAAAATAATCAAAGAAATTACTTATCTCTTCAATGGCGTATAATATACTTTCTTATGACTTACGACCATGTACCTACATTTTTTAAAGTGCACCACTTTTTCACGAGTATAAAAAGCGAATCATTTTTTTTAAATAATGCCTACTTTAATATTTGTAATATTATGCGAGCCCATTCCACATTATATGCAATACATTAGCCATTGGGTATGGAAATAATGTACAATGGAATAATCAAATGAGTTCGTTCATAAAGTACATTTTGAAATCAAACAGTTTTGCCAAGATATTCGATAGAATATTAAGGTAACGTAACAGGATTATGCATTTAACATCTTGAGGAATAAGCATTCGATATCACGTTCCTTCCCCTACACGGTTCAATAAATTAAGCGCCTAATATTATAGTTTCGTGTATACTCGTAATATTATTATTATTATTATATGAATGAAACCTCTCTTCTATGTATACACGGCTTTTGAAAAGGCGCATAAATTCATGTGAATATTATAATGATTCGCTAAGTATACGGTCCGTGTTCGCATTTCTTTTTTTAAACATACATAATAATATTATACAGGTACCTATTTTTTTACCTCTATTTTTTTTCACGTTCACGCCAAAACTAGAACAAATCATGCGTGAAAAGTATCAAGCACATTTAAAAGTTTTTCGTAGTTTTGTGCACCAGTGTGAAAAGATATTGTACGACAGATAAAAATACGGCTGATTGTCGGCACAGCGGCGGAGTTGGTCGAAACTCGAAAGTCGTCGGGAATGGAGTGTTTTTTATTTTTTATTTTTATCAGATTTACAGTGATAAAAAAAGTAACACACTGTATTACGACTGATCGGGTGATTTAAACTTCTAACTATTTAGACTGGCTTAATACGACTAAAGTTAAAATTCATACGGAATTCATGAATGCACTGCTTTGTTTTGAAAATCAATTTGAATGCATGGCAAAATGATGAATTATTTTACTCGAAAATTGAATATGTTAATTTAGGAAAAAGTATGTTACAAGTTAACTAACATATTTTTTTATAATTTCATTAAGTTGAAAAATAATGGATCAAACAATTAACTAAGTTAAAATCGATTTAATTAAAATAGATAATTTGACATTTAAAAAAAAAAAATAGCTATCCTACAAAATAAAAGAACAATCATGTTACTAGGTGTTCACAGCATTTAAAATTATTATCAATCACAAATTCGTATTATTATAATCACGGGTATATGGATCAGTGAATTTTTTAAGTTCGGTTAAAATGTAATTATTTGTATTCATACAAATGTAATGTCATACAAGTAACAAAATAAATTGCAAAAAAAAACAGTAAATTGATTAAACAAAATAATGAATCCGTAAATTTATTAAAATAAAAAAAAATGTTACTAATCAAATTAAATTTGAATTATTATTATTTATTAGTGATAACAATAAAATAGATAAATACATACAACGTTTTAGTATAAAATTATGTCACGAGCACTTACTATGTATATATTTTACTGTATGACAATATATTAAATTAATTGTTTTCAAATATTTAATAGAACAATTAATGACAAAAGAAGTTTTGTTTTTAAATTTACAATTTATCAAAAATATGTTACTATTTAATTGCACATCTGTTTGTGCAAAAAAAATTACAGAACTCGGTATTTGCAAA